ATCTCAAGCCATAAAGCATTGAGCTTATCTCTTCCCTAGCAAGCAAGCCATAAAACATTTAGTTTATCTTTTCCCTAACAAGCAAGCTAAAAGCATTTAGTTTATCTTTTCCCAATTTCTTGACAAGATACTTTGTTAATTTTTGCTGAAGCAGAAGTTTCTTTCATTTCCCTGGACCTGGATCCCCACAATATTTTGGAGGTTGAATAGGCAGGGCTTGGGGACTAATTGAAACTAGTGGGTGAATGAGTTAAAGGAGTGTGGGTTCATTTCTGGGCTGGGTGTCAGAGTGGATGGTGGTGCCATTGACTGAGCCAGGGTACACAGAGGATAAAGGTTTGGTAGGGAAGAAGAGACTATGTTCAGTTTGGAGTACGTTGAATTAAGGTGTGTGTGGAACAGTAACTCATCCAACAATTCTTTGTTGAGCATCTATGCACCAGGCATGGTGCTAGGTGCTGAGGATGTAGCAGTAACACAGATAAGGTCCTGGCCTTCATGGAGCTGACATTCTACTGAGGGAGCAGTCAGTAAACAAACATAGTTTCATTCATATATTTATTAAGCATCTACTAAATACCAGGCACTGTTCTAGGCACTAGGGATTCAAGGGTAAACAAAACAGAAAAGCTCCCTGCCTTCCTGTGATTCACATTCCAGTGAGGGAGACAAACAATAAAGTGAACCAAATAAGAGAATTTCAGATTGCAGTGAGCACTATGAGGAAAATTAAGCAAGTTATGAGATAAAGATGGGGATGAAAGTCTATTTTAAGCAGGGTAGTTAAGGAAGGCCTCTTGGAGAAAGTAACATGAGCTGAGACCTGAATAACAAGAGCTGGCCAGGGACAGGGCAAAAGGAATAAAAAGTGCAAATGCCCTATTGTGGTGGGGCCAGTTCAGGGCACCCTCTTAATGACACCTCCTGGGCCTTTATGATGGACAGAGTGGAGGACAGGTGGGAAGTGGGGTGGGTTCTCCACACATGAATAAGAGATGGTGTGTGTATCCTTAAGGAGTATATGCACAATCTAATGAAAGAGGCAAGGA